CCGAGCGGCGGGTACACTCGTGAGCACCTGGGCTGTGCGGGCGGGGATCGACTTGCTCACCGTAGCGGCCTCCACCGGCGCCCCCAATGGTGCCGTCGGGACCAATGGGAGTGGTGCAAGCGCTTCTGCCGCTGTGGATGTCCCTCGGCGCCCGCGTGCGGGTACACAGACCAAGCGCGGCGGTGGCGCGGGGAGTATCGGCAAGAGTGGTGGTGGGCTTGTCGAGCGGCCACCCGCGGCGCTCGCAATGGAGAGCAGCCCGCGCATCGTCCGCGTGCTCGCGCGCGGGGAGCGCCTTGACGCCGGGGCGTGATCACCGCGCACACTTCGTGAGGCTCCCTCCCCTCTTCGCTCTGGCTGGGACACTGACTGTATGCTATAAGAATACACAGCACGCTGAATTAAGAGGAGTCCTCCCGGCACGGGCCTACCCACGCCACCGACATCACTACCGACCGACCGACCGACCGACTGAAGACTACTTTCGCCCCCACGAGGAGGAGATCCACCGGGACATTCCCATGGCTTGTGGACACCCAGGACACAATACACATCCAGATACGATGCGCGATGGCGCACGATATCGATAGAAGGCGGATTCGGAGGAGGGATCATGGTTTGGATCACAGTTACGATATTGACTCTGTCTGCCCCTTTCCCTCCCTCCCTCCCTTCTTATACAACATATGCGGCGGGCGTCAGACCTGAATACCACCTACCCATGTACTCGTCTTTTTTTTTCTTTTGTCTAGTCTTGATTATGCCTGCTTTCCTCCGTTCGTCTCTTTTACCGCGGCGTCCCGAAGCGGACATGGCTGTGGCTGTGTGTCGACTCCTCTTTTCTTAAGTCTTTTCTGGCTGGTGACTATGTATCGAAGAAGAGATCCTACGCTCAGCCTACGCTTCACATAAAGAAACCCTAATTTACATGCAAGCGAACGGGAAGGGCAACACGATAACACGGACACGGCGAGCTATCTAAGACCCCACGACCATCGCCGCAATGGATGCACACCCTCCAAGTCCGCTTTCTTTTGTAGCCGCACACTCTGCGCTCGCGCGGGTCTCGCGTCGTATGTCTCACCCTGGCCCATTCGCAACATTCTTAGTCTCGGGGGCAAGACCTGTGATACACGTCCATCGATTCATCTGTCGTGAAAATAGCGAGATCATGCATGCACCTGTCGCGCGTGCAAACCTAGAACTCCCAGGTACGATGGTCCATGCACTTACGCGTTGCTCATTCTTGACATGAACAAATCTGCGCAGATGATGTAAATCCGCCGACGTTGTTTTCGAGCACGGGGCGGCCTGCTGGCCGCGACCCGCCGCGCTTGAGCCCCGCACATCCCACGTGCGCCGATTCGCGCATGGTGCGGTGTCCGTGGCTGTCGTGCGGTAGATACTTCCTTGCGTTACGGCGTAGCGTAGCGTCAGACTCAAGAACATCAATATTGCGCGCTACGAACGGTACGTGACACTCCGTTCAGCTCCCCTTTTCGCCGCGGCCGCTGAGTCGAAACGCAGCCACCGCTGGCGTTGCACGATGTGCCTCCAGACGTTGTCCAGACGCGCAGTGGGCTGAAGAAGTACTCGACTTGGACCCCGGTAAGAGTTTGAAACAAAGCAGGTACTTATACTTAATCTGGTGCGACAGTCTAAGCACATATAACAGCTCGTATCATCGCCAGATACGACTGAGGAAAAGCTTAGGAAAAACGGGAAGAGAGTCGAGTCGGCGAAGAGTCGAAGACACGGTTGCCCAACGGTTGCCAGCCCTTGGGCTTGGGCCATTCGTGGCGAGGTTGTTACCGTGACAGTCACGGTAGCGCAAATCATCCTGGAACTGCACGCCACAATGTCGACCCCGGACGAATTGTTAGAGTTGGTGGCAGGATATACGAATCTCGAGGACATCACGACTGCCGCTCTAGTCCTGGCTTATATCGTTTCCACCTACTGTCAGCAGCCCGGCCCCTCGTTGGATCGGCGCTTTACGAAATACGCGCCGTGCCTCGAGTTGCTCGAGCGCGAATCTGGGTTGCATGAACTGCTGAAGCGTGCGCACACGGGGAGAAATTACGAAGATGTAGTCGGCTCAGGTGTGCGCCACCCATGTTCCATTCGGGATGAGTTGACGAGTCCGAGAGCAGCCCTAATTCGCAAGGATCCACTGCCTCGAGCTACGCAAGAGTTCTTGGACGAGCTGAGGCCCCTGGTTGAGAGCTTCGTTACGTCAGATACTCCTTTTAAGACTTGGCTCCCCAAATACGAGGGTCGCGTTCCACTGGATCATATGAAGTCGCTGGAACTATTTACACTGTCTTCCGACGGACTACCATTGGTTATTCTGAAAGACTTGGGAAGCTTCGCTGATGACGCGTCCCTTCTTATCCGTCTCAAAAATATCTTCGCGCGAGGAAAGAAGACGTGCGTTCAACTAATCATCTTTGTATGTGATATCTGACCTTGCGCTGTCCAGGGTGCTGGTCAACACATCGGGCTCGGGAAAGACGAGGCTTTTGTTCGAGGGTCTTTGCCGTGAATGGGGCTTCTACTTCACAGCGATCCGAGATAGCTCTTATCTTGGATCTCAAGATATTTCTGGCATCGTCGTTGGTCTGGCCGACGACTTCGATTTCGAGGACAGCCGCCGGCCTGGATCGCGGGATCCTGTCCTGGAACTTCAATCCCACCATCTTCTCGCGCATCGTCGCTTGAGCGAAGTGCTTCTTGCTCGCATTCTCATCTTCCGATTGTTCCTTGACGTTGCAAAGAAGAGCAAATTGAACGGGGAACATAAGAAACGATGGCTGCTCCTGCAGCTCATCTCAAGTCTTGGTCCGTATGTCGACATTTTCCGCACGATGACGAATACGCTCCGGTATAGCGAGGAGCATGACACTCAGGCGGCCATATCGGATGCTATCGCTGGCGTTCGCCACGTCCTGGGGCCGGATTCCCATCTCTTCCTTGTTCTTGATGAGGCTCAAAAGTCTGCTGTGGATCTTGCAGAGGTGTTTGATGCGGAGGACGGCAAATACCCCGTCCTGATCAAGATGTTGGAAACATGGGAAAGCGTCTTTCCCCGCGAGTCCGTTTCTTTCGTGGTTGCGGGCACAGAGATTCCCTCTCGTATCTTTGAAGGCACCGAAGCCGTATGCTGGACGTCTGATACAGGCGCATTTGACGATCCCGCGCTTCACGAGCAGTACTTACGTCGCTTTCTACCGCCAACATTCTTGTCTACGAAATTAGGGGAGGCTTTTTTGGACCGCGCATGGAGATGGACTCGGGGGAGGTGTGTTCAGTTCAGTCGATCCATACATTTGCGATGCTGACGTTCCAAAATAGATATCGGTATACAGCGACGCTCGTTACGGAACTTCTGCTGCGTAATTTCCAACGACCTCATAGCCAGCTCGATGATTATATTGCTACACTTTCGCAATACAAACCCACTGATGCGCAGCGGCTCGTTCATGCCGAGCGTAGTAGCTTCGTGATACTACCTTCGGATGGTTACGCACGAGGCATAAACGGCAATGATTTTTCGACTCTTCGCTCGTCTTCCGGTTCGACCCTGTCCTCTCCTGAAGCCTCGTCACTGATTGCGACTTCACAGCCTCTGACACGCGATTTCTGCTCCAAGAGGTCCTCTTTCACTATCTTGTCACAGGCAGACATCCTCCGATGTTCGGGCGTGAAAATATACAGGCTGTGTCGCTGGGCCTAGGACGTTTCAGCGACAGTGAGATGTCGAGGATTGTCGCCGATGAACCTATCGTTTTGGCAGGCGCAGCTCTCTGGATGCAACAAAACCGACCGCGGTTGTCGGACTTCGGTCATCTCAAAAGCGCGCGAAGCTACTTGATTGACCTCAAATGCGACCCGCCGCCCACAGGAAAGACATTTGCCAAATTTCTTGCATATTACTTCTCGCAGGTGTTCGACTCCAGGCCGGCACTCTCCGACATCTTTACATTTCCCAAACCTGTGCTCGCGTGGGCCAATCAACCGGCGGAACTGGTAGGATTGCACGCCACCGAGGTCGGCCACATGGACCATTCCACGATCTCCGGTTCCGACATCGTGCGTCCTTTTGCTACCATCGTACAGGGCGTGGTCGAGATTGTATCGTGGATGGAGCACACCGATCGTTCACTGTTCTGTATCCCCACTTCGGGGAATCCGGACCTGCTCTTTATGCTGAGGCTGGGCGACGGATCGTTCGTATGGGTTATTCTGCAAGCGACGCCGGCGGTGAGCGATGGCAGCGAGCTCATAGCATCGTTGGAGGAGGAGCGCTTGTTTTGTGATACGGTAACACCTTTTTTAGCTTTCAAACTAGCGCTGATGATGATTGAATTGCCGATCAACAGGAGCACGATTCTGAGTCTGTAGCTCACAAACGCGCGCTCGAAATCCTGAACGCCAAACCCACTAGGAAGGGCGAAGCTCCGACCGTCTTTCGCGTGGTCGCCTCCTGTAAGAATCAGATTGACATCGAACCCGCCCCCGAGGGAGAGTCACCGCATGCAAGCCTTTCCATGGACACGTTCCTTGCCGCAGCCATGTCTCTGGAAACCGTGGATAGCATTGTCGCAAGTGCTCTCGGGAAGGATAAGGAAGGCTCGGACCCGGAGGCGGACGGGGGCGACCGGCGAGGCACAAAACGGCGAAACTCGTTAACTTTGAAGCCTGACGTCGAGCCCGAGCCTGAGCTCGAGAAAAGTGCCGGAAAGAAGCAGAAGAAGGCGAAAAGGCCTGAGCACAGCGTCCGAGCCACACAACCCCAGTCAAACAAGTAGTCGCCGCCCAGCGTCATACGACGGAAAGGGAAGGACCTCAGGCTCGATTTATATAATTATAATGCGAGGAGCATATGGAATTAAACTTCAATGTGTGCGAACCGAACTAGATTGGGAACAATCTTCCTCAGCTAACTACAGGTTGACGATCCTGTCGGCTTCAGAGAGTATGATAAAGGGCAGAAAAAATGGACGCATTGGGAATTGAACCCAACACCTCTCGCATGTTTACGTCAGCACGATGCTAAGCGAGCGTGATAAACCAACTACACCATGCGCCCCTTGAACATAGCGTGAGAGCTCATCTCCAGAGCAGATCGTACTCAGACAGGCACTGAGTACTGAGTACTACTACTGACAGGCTGAGGCTTGCACGAAACACGTTGATGGTCACATCACATGCTGTGACATCAACAACTCTCTATACGAATCGTCATCTCGCCTGCCACGCCACTTCCACTTCAACGTAAGCCCCTCTTTCCCTACGCGTCGGGTGCGAGCACCACATTGGCTGGGGTGTTGTTGCGCACGGCATCACCCCTGGAGCCAACACAACAACACCTCAGTTGATGGGGTGCCCGCACTCGTCGCGTCTCCATTGCCCTTCACCCCACTGATGCTTTTTGTTGCCCCATATTAGCAATGATCTGGGTCCCACAGGAGCGCAAGGTGCACGAGGCTCCCGCCCTCTAATATACCGTACTGAAAAGCATCAGACCCGTAGCGGCGCGACCTTCTCGCCGTTTATGCCACCCACTGCCGAAGACCAATGCGTAGACGCTTGAGAGTCAGATCTTCAGACCTTGGCCTGAGGACCCCCGAACTTGTGTCCTCTTCCTTCTGTGCACTGCTCGTCGCTCGATCACCCAGCAAATTCCAATTTCCAAGTGGTGGACTGACTTGTCACCGCCGATGTCCTCAGTAGAAGTCTGATTTGCGTCTTACTCACACTGAACTGTAGCTCAGAAAGAGATTGTTTCTGCGCCCTCACGTACATACGGACGCGACGCGATGCGTGATTTCGCGGTGTGACGTCCGCACGTGTCTACCGATGGAATCCTTTAGAACAGACGAGAACAAAGCGTGATGCTGGTAACAAAGAACTTGTTTTCACAATGTTTTCAAAGCCCCCGAACTTGTGTCACTTCTGTCTCTTCCTCCCACCCCCTCTCTTGCACCCACACCAAAGCCACACGATCTAGCGATGGGAGTCGAAGCAATGTAAGCCCTCAGCCCACTGGCAGTCGACGTGGATGCTCAGGCCCACTGCCCACCCACAGTCGCCAACGCTTCATACAAGACGAGAACTACTTTCCACAGGGAATGCAGGGCCCGTCGAATATCTCCATTGACGCGAGATATGGCCCTCCGAAAAGGATACCGGTTGGAGCTTGGTGGGAAACACGGTGAGACCTGTGCCACTTGCTTGGACGCACTCTTACAACACACAACATATAAAGACAACAGTGTAGCGAAGCCGGCGTGCACAAACCGACGGTCGCTGGAATCAGCGGCGGCAATGATGGCGCCTTCTCCATCGTCATGTCCGGTGGATACGAGGATTCACTTGATGACGGGAACACTTTGTGAGTCTTTCGCACTTCCGTTGTGCTTCATCCTCACTGCCATCGGCACAGTGTGTATATTGGTACAGGTAGGAATCTTTACTTCCCCTGTTCACGAGTAAAACTCAACAATGAAAGGCGGAAAACAAGACTCCGCATTTGGGGTGCGTAACTCGGGCGCCCGCTATCTCTTCGATCTTGTTTGATGAGATGAGAACATAGTCCTCTGGTCCCCAAGTAGCCGACCAAAGCATGGACCATAAACACAACAAGTGCCTCGTAGTACGTGCCCCATCTTGCTTTCTGAGCCAGTTCAACGGCCTTCCCCAGAAATCCATGGAAACTGGAAGGCACATTCGAGTTGTCCGTGGGCCGAACCGGGCGAGCCCATGGGCTCCGGCGACCGGGTCAGTCAGCTGCCTCTTTCTCTCCTTCGACTCTGATCGATATGCAGCTATCGATATGACGGCCTTTACACCGTGACCCACGTATGTTATATCCCATCGCTTATATGCTCATTGATTCAGCCATCACATTAGGCATGGGAGGCCAAAGGCCGTTCAGGGTTTAAAGTGTGTAAATTCCGCTTGATTGTATGGCTCAACACTGTCGTCTCTCTTTCTGGCTATCTGCTCATGGGATGGTTGCAGCGTGAACCTGGTCAACCGCCCTTGTGCCACACAAACTAAAGCAGAACTTTAATTCTCTCCATGCTTATATATATCCTCCACCGAGTCTATACCCCCATGGTTGTTTTTGTATCTTGAATGTCAGACCCGTTGTCCTTGTTGGTGCGGACTATGCCACACTGGGATTCAACACAGTAATAGACCCAGCTTGTTAGCAGACCCACGACCGGATTGAAAAACTCCTCATTCGTCGTTTCTCGTTAAACTCGTGCGCGTGTATGTAATCGTGCAAATGCATCGTATGGCCGAGTGAATGTATATGTATCTCTGTATGGGTGCGAATAGCTGGGAGGGAGCGGCGGAGCGGAAAAATCGACGTGCGGCAAAACGGGGGAGGAGACGTGTAGCGGAGTGGAGCAGCAAATGCCTTAAATGCAGATGTAGGTGCAAGGACATTGAGGCCATGCGAGGCATGAATGGGTGGCGGGCAAGGGGAGGGTAATATGAAGTGCAGTGAATGAATGGTGTGGAATGGTATGGAATGGAGACAGAGACGGGAGAGAGGATGCGAAAGCGAGGACGACAGCAAGCAGGCAGGCAGGCAGGCGGAATCTTAATATTATAATCGGATCGGACATCTAGGCACTCAACATAAGTCTCTAACATTACTCAAGTATTCGAGATCACGTGGAGGGTGGTTGAATTCGGGCAGAATGTCAAATATGATACTGTGAGTGATCGGAAGTGACAGCGGGTTTACGCCAGGCAGGGTGCGAGTATCCGCTCCCGAGCTTGCAGATCAACTGCGAAGTTGAATGAAGCACATGTTGTTCCGCAACGAGCTATTTCAACCCATTCTGCAACTCACTTGGAAGCAAGCAGGTATATCTCGACTGCGGAGTTGATTCCTTTGAGTTGTGGTTGACTTGGCATTAAAATGCGAGGCCCGAGCTCCAAATGCTGTACTCTCTGTCTGTGGGAGACCAACCTCGATATCTATCAAAGATGCCGACAACCCCAAAATAGCACCAAGTTGAAGCTGAGGTGAAGATGTGGGCACGTACTCCGACGAGGGCTTCTTCCAGCTCGATTTGTGGCCTATAGTACTTACTAAACGAGGCGGCCGGAGAATATCCGAACACTCCTTTATGCCTCAACCTCGGAGTTGAGGTGGAGGCGTATGATCCAAGATGCCAAGTGAGTGGATCAATCGGGGGATGAGTTGAGAGCCGAGTTGAACCGGAAATTTCAGCTGCGATACGTAGAAGACTAGCGTAGTATGGCTCGCGCGTGGGTGCGCCTATTCGACGCAGTTCCTGTGAGCTGTGCAGGCTGGAGTAGGAGCTCACAGAATGTACAAGTATCTGTCCGTATGTGTGGAAGTCCTTCCTTCGATCAGGTTACTCTTTTCTTCAACCCTCACCTTTATCCGTTGTCATCATACAACTCAGTGCGCTTATTGCTTCCTCCTGCAGAACTTGAAAGACCGAAAACCATCCTAGATCGAGATGCAACTCGATATTCATGTCGCGGTCGTCCTTGTTTCTGCTTCTCCAGCACTATCGGCCACGCTCACCTTCTTCTTCGGGGCGGACTGTGTTGGTCCCGCCGTTGGCATCAGTACCGAATCCGCGCCTGGCGAATGTATCTACCTCGGAGAAGGCGGATCGGCAAGGTCAATCAGCTATTTGGATGTCCCCAATCAAATCAATTTCTTCGAGTCTGGCGGCTCCCACGATGTTTGCTCTAATGGTGCGGTCCTGGTTCTGGGTGGTGGATCTGGATGCGCGAATGGGCCTGTCGGGTAAGCTTTTCATGACATTGCTTGGTGAGGTACTGGACCAGTTGTTCGGCGGTAGATTCAACTTGGAAAGTGTCTCATTCTCGTAGAATTTGCGCTCCTAGACGCCGGTCGCTTATATAGGTGGTGCACCATACAAGCCAGCCCATAGTAGCCACGCTGTATGCAAGTCTCTCTCTTGAATCCTATGTGTAGCCCTGGGATAGAGCAGGCATCCAAGTAAGACTACAACATAAATTAGTAACGGTAAATGTGTAAAACTCGAAGTGAGAAGGGGCCAAAAACTCATACAGGCACAATAATAGCGTGAACGGCGGAGAAAAGCCTCCGTAGGTCAAGGTTTATGTAAATACATAGAATAGCTGTACGGGCGCTTCCACGGCGCTTCACCGTAGCTGTACAATAAACAGGATACTCGTCAAGAAGCTGTCGACAACAAGAAATCAAATGATGGAGGGATGAGCGGTGATTATAATCGTGAATGCCAAGGCTCGTCGAGCCCTTCTTTCAGCAGAACTCATCTCAGCTGAGCAGAAGAATGGAACTCTCGTGTGCGCCAATGAATTAGGATAAGCGCAACAATATGACATCGACCGAACCACAGCTTTTATCAGTTCAAACTTCAAACTGGTCGGCCCGGCTGCCGAGGTGGCCGAGATCTCCTTATTTGGAAGGCACCACGTGCACCTCCCAGCCCTCGTCTTCCCCGCCATGATTCCCCTTCATTCGCCCGTCCGCGATGCTCTCAGAATCAAAGCTTCCGTGCACACCATATTTCCTTGTACTTCAACGGCCCACGGACTCTCGTCGACGCGTCTCCCGAGTCCCCCTTCGAAAATATGTACTGGTGACAGTCTAAGTAACGTTCAATTCTCAGTCGCACTCAGGCTGACTCGCAGGGCTCATAGGTCCCACGCTGTTGTGATCAATATCACGATGTGCCAGTGTGGGTGAACAGCGCCATCTAGTAGACCTCATGAACTTTGGATGCCGATGCCGTCTGGAGAATTCTAAAATTGGCACCGGTGATCTAGGTCCGCTATATTCGCGCTTTGCGCGGTGTCGGATGACAAGCTTCTTGCCTCTCGCCTCCATGTACAATCCTGTTTTCCCCCGATATAATCTCCTCCTTGTGCCACTGCTCATCGCCAGATGCATCGCACAATCAAAGCTCGAGGTTCCCAGCTCGTTCCCCCACGCGTACCCTGGAATGCCTACGACGCCGTTTGGTCCCGACTGGCAGAGTTGTTCGCCGTCCTAGCTTTACTCTCTCCGCTGATTCTCAC